TAATTTTAGTCAAAAATTTCTCGGAATCTGATTTTCCTAGAAATACTCTTATATATTATTTATTTATCTATATTTAGGATGATTTAAGGAGATTTTAAAAGAAAATAGATCATATTTTATTATTTTATTATTCTATTTTTAATAGGAAATTAATCAGTATATTTAGTGATATTTTGTTATATTTTTGCAAATTTATATTAGGTTTTTATTAATAAAATTTTAATATTTAATAAATTTAATAAATAAAATGTACTGATTATTGATACTGAATTGCTTGTCTGATTGGAGTTGATTGGCATCAATCAATGTCTGAATTGTTACTGAATTGATACTGAATTGAGACTGATTTATGGTTGAATTTAAGTTTCAAATGGCCATATCTGATTAAGGTCGATCAGCATCTATCAGCACCTATTTGTGCTGATCAGAAAACATGGCAAATCAGTTATAAATAGTATCAAAATTAGCTTAAAATCAACCATTCAATTTTTAGCTGATTTGGACTATTTAGTCTAGTGAAATTCTTGATGTTCATTGCTACTTATGTATCTTTCTTTTTTAAGAAATAGAAGAAAGCATGTTAAAAGTAGTTATAATTCGAGCGTACTCAAAGGATAATTCAAGCAGTAGCAAAGACTATATTTTTTATATCTTAGAGGTTACGTGATGTGATATTTCTAAGAAGATTAGTTAATTTAGCTGAATGAGATGACTGGGCTTGAATATCTGTTCTAGAAAGGCTACAGAGATAATAACAGATCATATTATTTAATAAATAAATGTCATCGCCTTTTTTAATTCTACAAAATTAGTTTGGTTATCATAAGTAATTGTTACTCTTTATCATAGGTTCCTTATTTTCATAGTAAAACGGACAATATTTTCAAATCTGGAGAAAGTTTATGGAGTTTAGTTTCAGTAACGTCTAAAGGAATTTCTGTGATTGTGATTGACCAATCAGGTACATAAGATGCAAATTTCTTAATATCTAGTAGTTGAAACATGATATTTTTTCATATCAAGAAATTTGAGAGTACAGAATTTGTCATATTTAGATTTGTTAATAAAGGCAACTTTAATAATTAATGAGTTCTTATTAGGGTGCTTTCCTCTTGTAGCATTCATGAACAAGTTATATTTGCCATAGCACAAATCAGTGATCTTTAAGATCTTCATTTGTGTGTTAGGTTTAAGGAATTTTTTTAAGAAAACAAAAGTGAAAAATTTGATAATTTAAGTTGAAGGTGCTTCAAAACCAAGAGTTAAGATATCTAAAATATTTTCTGATATGTCAAAAAACTCATCAATGTTCATAATGGTTTTTTGTACAGTAGTTTTTAGAGTGAGAGTCTCAGGATCTTTTCCTTTATCAAAGTTGTTGGTTGAACTTTTCTCAACAGAGTTGATTTCTATTGTGTTAGTGTCTTTTGTAATGATAGGTTCAATAGATATAGGTAAATTTAAAGTGAGTTCCTTGTCTAAAGTTTGGTTCATATTTTGCATTTTTATTAGTACTTTATTATTAACAGATGACGTTAAACAATCGTAGTTGGTATTCTTTCTTTCCATTTTGTTTGACATTTTAGATCAGCAGAATTATATCATAATATATACTACCTAGTATTGTGATTGGTCAATATTTGTAGATCATTTTTTATTATTTCTAAAATTCTATTAGTCAATGAAAATTAGCGTGATCACATAATTTATAAATGATTAAATCAAAAAAAAGTCTCTTAAGTTTATTATCAAATTACCAAAAATAACAAAAATAAAGAACAAGAATAATGTAATAAATATAATAATCAAAGAAAAATAATTATATGATTTTATTAAGAAATTAAAAGTAAAAATAATAAATATAAAATGTAAAAAATAGAAAAATCAACCCAAAATTACCCTAAAAAATGTAGATAATTATTAAAATCAACCCATTCCCACCCCAAATCACCCAAAAAAATGTAAAGATAATAATAAAAAATTGACCTATTCCCATCCAAATCACTCGAAAAAAACGTAAAGATAATAATAAAAAATCAACCTGTTTCCACTTAAATCACCTGAAAAAATGTAAAGATAATAATAAAAAATTGACCTGTTCTCACCCAAATCGCCTGATAAAAACGTAAAGATAATTATCAAAATCAACCTAAATTACCTGAAAAAACGTAAAGATAATTATTAAAATTGACCTGTTCCCACCCAAATCGCCCAAAAAAAACGTAAAAATAATTATCAAAATCAATCTAAATCACCCAAAAAAATGTAAAGATAATTATTAAAATTGACCCGTTCCCACCCAAATCATCTAAAAAAAACGTAAAGATAATAATAAAAAATTGACCTAAATCACCCAAAATAAACATAAAAAATAATTATTAAAATTGACCCATTTCCAGCCTAAATCATCTAAAAATTCATCATTCGCCATCATTCATTATGGAATTATCTTCATTTTCTTAAGCAGCAGATAAAACCCCCTTCTGACTTCAATATATTCTTCAGTTTCTATTACATATTCTTCTGCAGTTGTAACTCCTGCTTTGACCTCAGTATTATAGACTGCACTAGGTTGTGCTTTATATGACCATTTTAGAGCATTATAGGGATGTAGCCAGTCATAATGCTACATATCATTATTATATTTTCTCTTTCATTGAATTTGAGATGATGATGTTGCAGCAACACAAGAATTGAGTATTTTTCTCAGTAAATTTTTCAACTAAAAGAAGAAAATAATTAGTGGAATATACTAAATAAATTTGAAATATGCTAAATTAGA